CGGTGCTGGTCTCACCGTCCTCACACCTAACCTCAGGCTTTGGCGGAGAACCAACCTGGGAAACAGACGCCCCAGGTAAAGCCAGGGAGAGGGTGAGGGGCTCAGTGACGCGAGGCGAGAGGGGAGGTGGGTCGGGTAGAGACCCGCGCAGAGTCGCGGCAGTTCCCGCCCCCGCCCTAAGTTCACCCTCCGCCGCAGGTCGGGCCCTGCCTGGTGGCCCAGGAGGAACGCTCCTGTGGCCGATGCACAGCTCTGACCCCGAGGCTTTCTCGGAGCCCGCGGGCCGCTCTCATCCTGCAGCAACCTACCGCAGACCGCGTCCCGCCCCACAACCCCAGTCCTCCTGCCTTGGGCCGGGAGCCAATGTGTGTGCGGGGGTGGGGTGGGGGCGGGGGGGCCACCAGCATCTAGACCCCCCCCCCGCCCCCGACGGGCCGCTGTAGGGCTCCGCGAGATTAACATTTAAATGAGTAGATTTAAAGCAAAGCAGATTACCCACCATAATGTGGGTGGGCCTCATCCAGGCAGTTGAAGGATTTAAGGGATTGCGGTCCCCAGGGCAGAGGGAATTCTGCCTCCTGACTGCCTTTGGACTTGAGCTGCGGCGTCACTCTTGCCTGCGTCTCCTGCCTGTTGGTCTACCCTGCAGATTTTGGATCTGCCAGCCTCCACAATCGTGTGAACCAGTCCTTAAAAGCAATCTGTCTGTCCATCTTTTTGGTTCTATTTCTCTGGAGAACCTTGACTAATACAGGTACTTCAGATATCAGTCAGATGATATATATATATTATGACCCCCAAAGAGGAGCTGGGTAGTCAGAATATTGTCATACCAGACTATAAGGAGTAGACTTTGAAGCAAAGATCTTTAACACGATACGGATTTCAGAGTTATCCTCTAAAGACTGACAGGCAAGTCACAATAGTCTTTGGATATACGGGGAGATGTGGGAGAACAGGAAAAGCATGAGTGAGAACTAACCCTCTGGGATGACAAGGAAGGAGGTGACACTTCATTCACAGTGGGAGAAAAATGCCTCCTTCCTGCTGTTGTGTGTTAATTCCTAGAGCTGTGTATCTCCCTCTGCTTTCTGGGGACCCCAAGTCATCAGTTATCATCCCCTTTTCTCACCTGCAAGTGCTCAGTCTACAGACTTTTTCTATTCAAAGTGTAAACAAAAATTGTTTCTCCCATGTTTTGTCCTGGGTCTCCCTGCCTCGTCTTGATCCCAAATTTCTCTTCCCTTTGACAGCTAAGTGTTTTCTAGAGAGGTTTACTTGGCACTCACTTCTTTGCTTCCTATTCATCTCTACTTGTTGCCCCCTGCCCCTCCCCACCCCCCACAAATTCTGCAGTGTGGTTTGGCCTCTGCTTTTCTTCCCATGGGGAGAACTGCTGAGTCTATTTTCTTTGTGTCTCAAATGCATCACCTTTTCTCCTTTCTGTTGCCTTCTTTCAATCCCTCATTTCTCAACTGAGTTACCAAAATGCCTCAAAACTCATCTCCCTGTCGTATCAAACAGGTCTAAGCAATCTTCCAGGCCGAGGTCTGAACCCTTCCAAAATGAAAGTTTAATACTGTTACTTCTGTTTGCAAGTCAGCCCAGTAAAATCCAAGTTTCTTGGCACCGTGCACTCAAATGCCCCAGCTGGTTCCTCTTCCCCAGCCTCCTCACCAGATACCCCTCTTTGCATGCTATTATCCAGCTGGATGAAACCACCTGCGCTTCCCCAAAGACACTACATTAACGTTACCTTTACCCTGCTGTCCTTCCTTGTCTCCCTCTCCCCTTTGGTCCAAGCCCCTCCTGTTTCTAGTTCAAACTGCGATTCAGTGTCAAATCCTCAAGCACCTTGTCACTCAAGGTCCTGGACTAGCAACACTGCTTTGCCTGGGAGTTCCACAAAAGTGCAGAACCCCAGCCCTGTCCCAGACCAACTGAATCAGGATCTGTGCCTTCATCTGATCCCTAAGTGGTTGATATGCCCGTTAAAATTTGAGAATTACTGCCTTTGGATTCGATGTGAGTGAATGGATGAGGGAAAGGAAGTACCCATCACTGAGATTGTGTCCATGTATCGGAATGGAAGGGGGGGGCAGTGAGAACATCTGCAAGCCAAGAAATTAAATAGGAATGGATGGTGTTAAAAGTGTATGTAATATACATGTAAATTTGACAACACATAAGTGGCATTATTTATGTGGGAAAAAAGTGAACAAAAAATCAAGAAGGGGAAATAACAGACACTAGAAGATAGAACTTGAAATCAAAAAAAAAAAAAGAAAGAAATTTGGGGAAATACAGTAGAAGAAGCAGTTTAGAAATGTGCCCGATTTGTGAGAGCATTTTGTTTTGGATAAATGTATACAAGAATGATACATATTGTTAAGTATCATAAACTGCACTTTTAGAAACATTATAATTAAGCTCCAAACTTAGATTTATAAGTAAAGGTCCAAACTCGAGAATGTGAATATAAAATATCCCCATTTTCAACCATCTGTCTTCATGAGAAGAAGGATTTCCCTCAAGTCCCCAATACCATTGACAATTATTTACTCTATTGAGGCTGCTTTCTGTGTGTGGTTTAGATTCCTTCAGCATAAGAATGGAAAATGTGCTGACATCCCAGCTAAGTATAGTCGTGATAATCGTGGCAGCCACTCATTGGTGGCCAGGGTAAAGCATTATGTTGGAGGCTTTATACACGTTGTATTCACTATTTGCTTTGGAATATATAAGAACACTCGCTTCAAGTTATTTTCCCTGAAGAGGGCTTCTTTTATAGAGGGGCAGGCTTGAGTACTTACTGAATCCTGTGGGCTGGTCCAAAAAATGGACTTAGGGAACAAGTTTCTAATGTATATCTAGAAATTTAGAAGACAGTCTAGTTTTAAAAAGAGACATTATTCTGGGTGATATAGTATTTCGTCGATCTCTGGAAGGAAAAAGCTGGGACCAGGTGCTCAATTAACTTTCCCAACAATAAGTTAAACTGACATCAGGTTCCTCTTTGAGGTGATGCATTGAGAATGACATGATGTGGCTTAGCTGAGATTCCTGCCAAAAGCATATAACCTGAATCTACTTGTGAGAAAACATCAGATAAATCCAAATTAAGAGATGTTCTACAGAACTGGTCTATACACTTCAAAGATGTCAGTGTTATAAAAGACCAAGACTAAGGAACTGTTCTAAATTGAAGGAGACTGAAGAGACATGAGGACTAAGTGTATAAAATCTAGATTGGATCCTGGATGAGGAGAAAACACAAAGGACATTATTGGGTCAATTAATAAAATTCAATTATGAACTATAGATAACACTGTATCAATGTTAAACTCTGTGGATCTTATCATTGTATTGCAGTTATATGAGAGAACATCTTTGTTCTTAGGAATACACCCTGAAATGTTTAGGGTTAAAGAAGAATCATGTCCGCAACTTACCCCCAAATGATTTAGAAAACTAAGTGTGTGTGTGTGTGTGTGTGTGTGTGTGTATGTACACACACACATTTAGAAAGAAAGCATTAAAGCAAATAAACAGCTGACTATTCTGGGTAACGAATATCATAGTTCACTTTGTACTGTTCTTGCAACTCTTCTATAAATTTGAAATCATTCCAAAATGAAAAGTCTTTTAACAGATTTTTTTTAATGTACAAAAATATCTCAATTGGATTTAGTGAATGATAGAAAGGGGCATTTGGGATCGTTTAATCTATGATTGCTCTAATCCTACACAAAATTAGTTCAGTGATGGAAAGTAACTAGCCCAAGCCTCCTCCACACACATTGCAATAAATCATTTCATTTGGACCCAGCCCAAAAATCAGACCACAGAGGAATGTTAGCAGCTGAACTGCTCCCTTTTTTTAATACAAAGTGCCCCTGGGGTCAGGACCTACCAAGGAGGACTTCCATGGGTCCCTCACAGAATGTTTCAAATAGATATAATTAATTGCTAATGAATCAGATCTCTGGTGACAGAGGGCAAGGGAGCAAGGAGACTCTCTCATGTAGGAAATAGGAATCTCTGAATTAATCCAAGCTATCCCATTCCCTTTCTATCATGGAAATTAGTCATACTCAATGCTGAAATTCTGGATGACTACAAAATGCATTTTGCTGTGGGATTACGCTAAAGAACCCTAGGAAATAGTTATTGACTCATATATATTTATACATTCTTTATTTGATTCTCATGATCACTCTAGCAAATATTTAGTACAAATCCTAATTCCCCATTTTACTTATTAGAAAACCCATATAGGGGGCACCTGGGTGGCTCACTTGGTTAAGCATCTTCCTTCGGCTCAGGTTGTGATCCCAGGGTCCTGAGATCCAGCATCGGGCTCCCCGCTCAGCCAGAAGTCTGCTTCTGCCCCTCCCCCCGCTCGTGCTCGCGCTCTCTCTCTCTCTCTCTCTCACCCACTCTCTCTCTCTCTCTCTCATAAATAATCTTGAAAAAAAACCTCATTAAACTATGGAGTGGAAAGTCAAATGCAGTTTTAAAAAAATTAAAAAATTAAAAACCCATACAGGGAAATTATGCAACCTGCTTAAGATTTCAGAGATAGTAATGGGAAACACTTGAATTTGAACTGGTATACTCTTACTCTGCTAACCAGTCTGCAAGAGTTTTGACATGGGTTATAGATTTACCTCCATTTCACACACTGAGATCTTTCTCAGCTTTTGCAAATCAAGGAGATGGCCATTTTCTCCAGGTTCGCCCATATGATAAATAGGCGGTTGTAAGGACTGACCTCTACAACCTCTTGTTTTATTCAGCTATAAAGTGGGGATAACACCCACCTACCCACGGTATGGACATTACTGTGGAAATCCAATATAAATTCCAAAATGTTCTGATAGGTTAAAAGGAGCTATAAAACTAATTATTAGTAGTCTTACTACTAAATAGCATTCTCTAATTCATGTTAAAATAATTTGTTGTTTTCTGTGATGATTCAGAAAAGGAAATGATCGTACCTCTTCCTTTATTGGCAGCTTGGGCAGCTTAGGTGATCTGGAAGCTCTTGGCAGCACTGTTGTGCTCTGCCTGACAAGGACAGCTCCTTTGGAATTTCTCTCATTGGTGTTCTCATAATTACCCATATGCCAGGCAATAAAACCACGATTGTATTTTCCTTGTATATCCATAATATCAGGTTTTGGTTGCCTGAAATTGAAACAAGTTGGTTGGTTCTCAAATTGGAAAGATCTAGAAACAAGGCCACTAGTTTTCAGATAGTTGAGACTTGTCTATTTCTCTTATGATTCGAGGTGATTTTTAGCCATGTGGCTCAAGAAAGCTAAGGACCTGAGCCATCAGCCAGTGTTCTGAGAAGTTTCTGGACTCTGCCTACTCCACTGGATGTATAGCTGTGGAGGCTTAGGAAACTACCTCCCAGGATAGATACTCATCTAGGCACTTTGTTGGTGAATTGACCCCTGTATCGTAACTGATCCCCCTGTCCTTTAGGGCCATGCATACAAGATGCTGAAGGTGGCCCTGTTCAAGCTGAGACCTCATGTGACCTGAGAGTTCTGCAGGATATGGTCTATCCATTTTGAGATCTTAGGAGAATTCAGAAAAACACCAGCTTCATGATTCCAGACTCTGGCTTTGGACAGTATGTTAGAGGAAAGATCTAGGCTTCATTCTCTTTCCCCATTGAAATCCTTGTTTAGGTTCCAACATCCCTAAATTAGAATACTAAGTCCTGCCTTCCCATTATAAAGGGCCAGCCCTGGGCGGGGAAGCAAAAGGGATCATCTGATAGGATTTGCCATCTCATTTGGAATTATGTCGTTCTGAAGAACCTCTTGGAGCTTCTTACCCCACCATCCCTCTCCCTGAGTGCTTAGAGCCTCTTGGCCACTGCAAATTTCCCTTCCTAAAATCTGGGCTTTATGGGTTCCCAAGTTCTTTGGACCAAGATTAGTGACAGGTTCGCATTACCCTTTGCTCATTCAAGAAGATACGTGCACCTTACGAGGTGGTGGGGAGAGAGCAATAATAGGCAGACAACAAAAAGGTAAGTCAAGTACTTGGGAAGTATCATGAAGAAAACTAAAGCCAGATAAGGAATAAAAAATGCCAGGCATGTTGTTTTTGTGGGGGTTGGCTGTGGAGTTGGAGGTATCACTTGAGCAGAGAGCTAGCTGGAGGAAGGGAGCCAGCAATTCTCACAGTGCCGGGGGTCGGACACTCCCTCCCACTCCCTAGAACCACAGATCCCTGCACAGGGGCGGGGAGCTGACCGTGTGGTTCTCCAGCAACCCTCCGCTGACACCCCCGTAGCCTTCAGAATCAAGTCCAGAATTCCTTAGCACAGCACGCAGGGGTGTGTGCTCTTGCTGTTTGTTTTCCGCCTGTTTTCTTTTTTTTAAATGGTCTGCCCACATGGGCCTTTCTGGTCTCTCCTCCCAGATACCCACAGTGCGCTCCATTGTGCGCTCACCCGTCCCTCTGTGAGCTCTGAAGTCCTGCTTTCAGACCTTCGGCCTTCTGCTGCAACTTTTCCTTTTGCTTGTAATTCCCTCCCTCCTCCTCTCCTGACAAACGCCGCCCGAGGCTCTAAACCTCACCTTTTCTGAAAAGAGTCCTTATTCCCCGTCAGTCAGGCAGCACTTTTTCTCCTTTTTTAGCACATGGTGTTTGACTTCTTTTGTAGAAACTATTAGAACCTGCTTAAATGTCTTGTGCAGCAGTCTCTCTCCCTCCGAACTCAGTGCTCCTTAAAGAGCCCAGGATGTGTCTCGTTCATCACAGGATCCCCAGTGCTCATTACCTGGCTGGACTCACCACTGCCGCTCAGCTCGTCTGTGACGGGTGGAGTAATGAGCAACGGAGGGAGAAGATCAGAGCTGAGTTCCTCTAAAAGCTTCCTTCCCTCCCACTCCTCTCCACTTGCCTGCTTCTGCAGCCTCCTTTTTTTTTTAAAAAAAAAGATTATTTTTATTTACTTGAGATGGAGATAGAGCAAGAGATCAAGAGAGAGAACATGAGCAGGGGGCAGAGGGAGAGGGAGAAGCAGGCTCCCCGCTGAGCAGGGAGCCGGATGCGGGACTCCATCCCAGGACCCTGGGATCATGACCCAAGCTGAAGGCAGACGCTTAACCGACTGAGCCACCCAGGCTCCCCTTCTGCAGCCTCTTTTTCCCTCCCAACATCAGCAGTAGAGGGAGAGGGAGAAGCAGGCCTCCTGCCAAGCAGGGAGCCCAATGAGGGGCTTGATTCCAGGACCCTGGGACCATGACCTGAACCGAAGGCAGACGGTTAACGACTGAACCACCCAGGCGCCCCCAAAGAGTTTAAAAATCTTATAAAAATAATAGACCCGTCAGCTGTGGAGATTTACACACACTATATTGAACTTACAACTGAGCCACAGAAGTCAAAAGAGGTAAATCAAGGGAGCAGAAGGTTTGGCTCCGGATTGGTTTGGACCATGAATGCTAGGCCATCAGCAATGATTCAGTGTTATACACACACACACACACACACACACACACACCCCAAAATAAATAACAAAACCAAATGTTCTTAGTGTAGCAATCTTACTATTCTTAAGTAGGCCCCTAAAGGTCAGATTTTTTTTCATTTTGAAATAATTTCAAGCTTATAGAAAAGTAGAAGCACAGTACAACAGCTTTTTTTCCTGAACAATTTGAAAGTACATGATTGACATGATACCCACCACCCCCAAATACTTGAGTGTGTTAATTCCTACAAATAAGAACATTCTACATAACCTCAATATAACTATCAAAATCGGAGAAAATCAGCACAAGCAATAAAAGCAAAAACAAGCAAGTGGAACTACACCAAACCAAAAAACTTCTACACAACAAAAGAAACCATCAACAAAGTAAAAAGACAACCTACAGAACGGGAAGATTTATTTGCAGACCATATATCTGCTAAGGTGTTAATATTCCAAATGTATAATTCATAAACTCAATAGCAAACAACAACAAATAATAATCCAATTTAAAAATGTGCGAAGGACCTGAATAGACGTTTTCCCAAAGATAGGCAATCGGCCAACAGGCACATGGGAAGATGCTCAACATTACTAATCATTAGGGAAATGTAAATTAAAGCCACAATGAGATATCACCTCATGCCCTGTTAGAATGGCCACCATCAAAAAGACAATGGATAATAAATGTTGGTGAGGATGTGGAGAAAAGGGAACCCTTGTGCACTGTTGGTGGGAATGTGATTTGGGACAGCCACTATGGAAAAGAGTATGGAAGTTCATCAAAAAATTAAAAATAGAACCACCATATGGTCCAGCAATTCCACTCTGGGAGTATATCCAAAGGAAACAAAAACACTAACTCAGGAAGATATCTGCTCTCCCATCTTCACAGCAGCATTATTTGCAGTAGCCAAGACATGGAAACAACCTCAATGTCCCTCGGTGGATGAAGGAATAAAGAAGTTGTGGTATTACAATGGAATATTCTTCAGCCATAAAAAATAAGGAAATCCTACCATTTGTGACAACACAGAGGGACCTTGAAAGCATTACGCTAGGTGAAATAAGTCAGACAGAGAAAGACAAATAATGTTTGAACTCACTTATGTGGGGAATTTAAAAACAAAACCCACCAAACTCATAGAAAAAAAAAAAAAGAAATCAGACTGGTAAGCAGAGGTGGGAGTTGGGGGAGGGGGGGAAGGGAAATTGGAGGAAAGCACTCAAAAGGTAGAAGCTTCCAAGCATAAGATATAGAAGCACCAGCATGTCGTGTGCAACCTGATGATTACAGCTAACACAGCGGTGTGATGTATAGGAAAGCTGTTAAGAGAGTAAATCCTAAGAGTTCTCCTTACAAAGGAATTTGGTTTTTTTGTATCCACATGAGATGATGGATTTTAACTAAACCTACTTGGTAATCATTTCACAATATATGTAAATTGAACTATCATGCCCTACATCTTGAACTTATGCAGGGACGTATGTCAGTAATTATTCCCCAATAAAATCTTCAGGGAAAAGCAGAGGAAATCAGAAAATTAACACGTCTGTCAGACCCCATTCCAGTTTCCCAATAATGTCCGTTTTGCAAAAGGATCCATTTAAGAACTACACATTGCATTTAGTTTTCTCATCTCTTTTAGTCTCCTTAAATCTGGAACACTTTCCCAATCTTCCTGCGACTCTCACACAGCCTTGATACTTTGGGAGAACACAGGCCAGTTATTCTGGAGATGCCCCTCAAGTTGGGTTTATCTTATGTTTTCTCTTGATTAGATTCAGGCCATGCATCCTCAGGTAGGAATAACACAGGATGGCGATGGTGTGACTTGTCCCATTACTGGAGAGGTTCACTAAGGTCACTTGATGGAGGTCGTATCTGCCAGGCTTCTCCTTTGTAAAATTACTTTTCCCTTTCATTATTAGTATTTCGTGAGAAAATACTTTGATTTTATGTAAAAATTTCATTCCATGTCAAATGTTTAATTAATTAATTAACATCAGTATGGACTCAGGATTTCCTCTTTTGTGCAATGGGCTATAATCCATTCATAACATTCATTTTGATGCTCAGATTGTCCCAGATTTGGCTTAGAGGGAGCTCTTTCAGTCTCACTTCTGTGTCCTTTTGACTGCCCCCATCATTCTTTGGGCACTTCCTTACTGTTTAGCACAAAAAGATGTTCCAGGTTCATCTTTCCCTTCCCCATCCCTGGAATAATCCATTTTGTGAAGGAACTCTGTTTCCTGTTAGTGGAAAATGATAATTAGAAACCAAGACCCAGGTGCTAGGCATTCCTCTTAGCATTGAGGTGTCACTGTCACACAACCTTTTCAGACGATATTACCCAGGGTTCATTAGGGTGTTTGTGCTAGTTTTCTCCCTTTCCATATTTGTAACTCTCTTCTCTTATAGCGGGAAACCTGATTCCCATTCTCTTTATGTATTTACTTATTTGATCAGTCTTCCTGTCAATAACCAATGTCTCACTGCTACCACCACCCCCGTCCACTTTGTGCATGTTTTCCTCACCCCATTTGGGATCCAACACCCCAGCCCAGGATGCCCTCTTGCAGTCTTTCTCACCCTACTCTGAACTACCACAGTTTGTCTCATCATTTTTTGTTAAAAAATTAACAGTTCAAATAATATAGTGTGTCAATTCTGGAAATGAGACTTATTTCC